TATTATGCATAGAGACCTTAAGGTATGTGTACTTATTTTGTTGGTGTGCATAACTTGGTATTGTTCACCCCACATACTGTATATCTAGTACATGTCTGGCTTGGAACTGTATATGCATTAGTCTACTTGGGAGGAGGCCTAGTGTTTTGATAACAGATATTGGGCTGGTGTGGTACAACAATTTGCAAAGTAGGTTAGACTTTTGCAAAGCAACAGATAATCTCTCTCCTGAGGTAGTGAGCTTGTTGATGTCTGACATGATTTAGTAGGCAAATGGCTTGTCCTTTTCACCATTTCAAACCTTGTGCTTTGTTTACAGATCCATTTTGTAATGCTTAACCCATAAGTGTTGGCGCCGATAGCCTCGCGGTTAGTGTGCCGACTTATACAGTGCATCTGTGCTCACGGCTACCCAAGTTCAATTACCGTCTCGAGGTCCTACGTCAATCCCGCTCCCCTCGCTCTACCCAATTCTTTCCTTTCATTTCTCTACTGTCCTGTCTGAATAATAAAGGAATAAAAAGCCCAAAAATATAACTTAAAAAATTACCCATGACAATTTCTTTATTCTATTTACTGATGACTACATTTAGTGGCCTCTTGACAGTTAGCATGGCATTTAACAGAATCAGCTATTTCAAAATAAAATTAGTTGCAGATAGTCACTTTGACAAACACTGTTATTGTCCTTTATAAACCAACTCTTTATCTGTTTGTCACAGTAAGGTAACACAGTATTTCTCATGCATCTCTTCTGGATGCTTTGTCTTATAAGCATGAATTGCTTTCTCAGAAGTATTTTTAATCTATATAATATTAAGCCTGAATACCACTTGGATCTGCACACATTTTTTAATAACCAAAAGGCAAGAACACAGTTACCTTTGAAATTCCAAAACAAATGTAATGATTCTTATGTGATTAATATGTTAAAATGGTTTAACATAATAATTTTGGATATTTATTACTGTGGATGTTCTATTTGTGTAGTAATAAAAATATAAAAAATGCTTTTAGTGTCCGTTTGTTGCAAGTTAAAATGCATATTTATTTACAGCCGAGAAACATTTTCCTTCATGGACCTGAGTGTCATGTGAAGATCGGGGACTTTGGATTGGCTTGCCAAAACTTAATAATGGATGAACATGAGCAGCTGCCCTCCAGCTCTCAAGCAGGTGTAAACACAGGTGAGACCTCTTCTGTATTCACAAGAGTAAACGACAAGTTATTTTAGTTAAACTACTACATTTGTTGCAAAACTACTGCTGATTTATTGTCAGGTAACAGTAGGTGGCAGCAGTGATTTAATGCAACCTTGCAACATAGCCTAATTTCTCGTTGCACTTTTTACACTAGACTCAGCTCACACTAGTGGAGTAGGAACTTTTGTTTACGCTGCCCCAGAACAACTTGAGGGTTCTCACTATGATTCAAAGGTAAGGAAACTGTAAAGTTACAAACTGTTATAATGTAGTCTACTGTTTTTTGGGCTGTACTTCAGTGTGTGGCTGTTGCATCTTAGGCACATATGCTCAGTGTTTGTTTCATTTGTACAGTCAGATCTGTACAGTATAGGAGTGATTGCATTTGAGTTATTCCAGCCATTTGGGACCGAGATGGAGCGTGTGCAC